ATGTATGTGGTTGTTATTGTTCCATTGCCTCCTTTTCATCTCCTTGTGCCGAGGGTTTTTCGGAAACAACCTTTCTACCTCCCGGGGTAGGGGTAAGGTCTGCGTACACACTACATGTTGTTGTAACATTGTTAGATATTTTTTAATTTCTGTAAATTGTGCTCTTCACTTCTCGCTTTAAAGCCCCTAGACCTTGTTGCATTTTTGTGCTTTTCGCTTTTAAAATCACTGCATTTTAGATTATTACCTCTTCCTTTCCATCTCTTGTCTGTCTTAGCAGTTTCTCACTTCTGATTGAACATTATTTGCCTTGACTTCAATGTTTTGCAGTTCACTCTATTCATGGCTTGCATGGTTATACTTCCATATTTGGTTCTCGGGTCATTCAAGCCGCAAACTGATTTGCTTCGTACAGATTAGATTCGTTGGGTTAACAAGGACAGAATTTACGTCTCACTGACTTAGCTGAAGGTGCATATAGCCGAAGGTGTATACGGGTAACGAATCATTCGTATCCATTCCAGTAGTTCAAAGTTTCTTTTTGAACGATTAGTTTTGATTGAAGTAAATATTTGTAAGTTTTGATAGTGTTTCGAAAGTGCATTGGATTCTATAATATTTTGCAACATACATGCTGAAGAAAGAGTAAATTGTTTCTCTCATGAACTATGTCATGACTCACACTTTTTGGTGATAACAAATGGTGTCCTAGCCGGTTTGCACGCACTACAACTATTCTATTGGACATGCTACCTTGCAGCATTACAGGTACCGATAACTCTATCCATCAAGGCTTAGGCAGATGGAAAAAATCACTTATCTTTGTCGAGATTTGAACCTCAATTTTCCAAGTTTGAATTCGCTTTATTGACTGTTAGGCCACATCCCTGGGTGCCCTCGTCATTAGGGTTGTTCAAAATCGAATCTTAATCGTTAAGCGAATCGCAAAATTGACTTATTGGCTTTGGTATTAGGTTATCGGGGTAATGGTTGGTGAATGGATTGAGAGTTTATAATTAATGGCTTAACGGTTTGGGGGCGGATCGCTCAATTTTATTATCGGATAAACCGTTAACCCGTTAAGACTTTTTGTATTTATACTTTTACCCCCGTTAAGCTAAAGGTGGTTGATATGACCAAACTCGTTGCCCAAATACTACACCCGCTCCAGCTTTGAATGAATTTGATTGGGGTTCAGCTTCTATTTTTTAGTGTTACTCAGTTAGTTCAGTTTACAATACAAAGGGCTTCATTTATTTCATCCAGAATCATCGCAAAGACAAAGCAAAGTCAAGAAGTTTTAGCTACTATTTTGTTTGGATTCTATAAATGCTCAACTAGAGGGAGGCGAGCATCGAGCAGATGTGATACACTCCAAGTTTTCCCTTTATCACTAATTCTCTACTTTTTTTATTGTCTATTTGATTTAGCTGATAAACCGTTCGCTAATCGATAATCCGCTACCAAACAGTCCGATGTCTTATTGGTTGGCTAGCGGATTACTACACAATTGATAACCGATAAGTCAAACCATTAAGCGTAAATATCCGTCTGATTCGCCCCGTAAGCACCCCTACTCGTCATGACTTTTCACTTGGATACATAGAAAGGAATACACCCATAATATCAAGTTCTGTGAAACCAAAACCTTATATTAGCATTTGCTCTTATTCTAATGAAATTTGTTAAGTTGGCTAGAATCGACCCTAAAAGGAGCTCCACCACTTTCCTTAAATGGAAACCTACAGCATTTCATCTATTGAATTCCAGAAGTGCTTGACTTGCAATAAAGATTGAAGCAGTCTCTGGTACCTTGAGCTCAATGATTTCTTTTTAAATGGTAGTATCATAATAATAGCACAATGGGGGTTATGTATATTGAATGTTCAAACTGGTTAATAGAAGTCTTGAACTAATATATTATGACTTTAAACTTTGGATTGAATGCTCTCATTCATATATTAATATAGCGCAATCAGAACATCAAAAAAATTCCACAAAATCAACATATATTAATACACTTGAAAAAGTAAATATAGTCATAAATTCGTGTTGCATGACCCCTCGAAACATCAAAAATTCAACTGAAAATTCATGGCGAAGTAATGAGTGTTGGTCACTTGGCCATTTTCTAGGGAGAAATTCAAAAATAATCAGATTTACAAGTGATCATTCAAAAATAGCCACAGTTTCAAAAGTCATCAAAATTTAATCACTTTTCATGTAAAGATAAATCTCAACGAAAATACTGTTCAAAATCTGGAAAATACTCCAGCATAATATACTGGAACTCCAGTATACTTTGCTGGAACTCCGGTATATTCAGCAAAGTATACTGGATCCAGCAAAGTATACTGTTCCAATATAATATGCTNTTATACTGGATCCAGCAAAGTATACCACTCCAATATAATATGCTGGAAATTCATATACAGGTGCATCGAACTCCAGTATATTATGCTGGATCGGTCTCTATTCCAGCAAAATAATGGCTATTTTTCAATGACTTGGCAAACGCTGGCTATTTTTGAATGACCAGTCCGAAAACTGGCTAGCCCGTGCTATTTTTACCGTTTTCTATGCACCTACGAAATTTTAGACCAATCAAGGTTCGTAAAAAAATCTACATAATCAACATGTACTAATACACATGAAAAAAGTGGATATGCTTACCAAATCGTGTTGCATACCTCGAAATGCCAGAAAATCGAAAGTCATGGCGAAGCAATGCTATTGGTCAGTAGGCCATTTCTAATGAACCCACAAAATTTCAGGCCGATTGGAGTCCGTCAAAAAAAAATTCTACAAAATCAACATGTACTAACACACGAAAAAGTGGATATAGTCATAACTCGTGTTGCATGACTTCGAAAACTGCAATAAGATGAACTCGAAAGTCATGGCGAAGCAATGAGTATTGGTCACTAGGTCATTTCCTATGGACCTACGAAGTTTTATGCCAATCGGAATCCGTAAAATTTTTCAAAATCAACATGTATTTATACACACGAAAAAAGTGGATATTCTCATAAATTCGTATTGCATACTCCAAAACACCCAAAAATGAAGCCGAAATACCAAAAATGAACTTGAAAGTCATGGCAAAGCAATGAGTATTGGCCACTAGGCCATTTCCTATGTACCTATAAAATTCCAGACTAATCAGAGTACGTCAAATTTTGTTTATTGCCAGTATGCGCTAATACACACGAAAAGGTGAATATAATCTCAAATTCGTGTTGCATGACCTCGAAAAGCCACAAAATGAACTCGAAAGTCATGACGAAACTATGAGTATTGGTCACTAGGTCGTTCCCTATAGATCTATGAAATTTCAGGCCAATCAGAGTTCGTAAAAAAATTCTTCAAAATCAACATGTTCTACTACACACAAAAAAATGGATATAATTATAAATTCGTGTTACATGCCCTCAAAACGCAATAAAATAAACTCGAATGTCATGGTGATGATTTGAGTATTGGTCATTAAGTCATTTTATATGGACCTATGAAATTTTAGGCCAGTCATCATCCATCAAAAAAGATTTTCAAAATCAATATGTACTAATACACACAAAAAAGTAAATATAGTTATAAATTCGTGTTGCATGACCCCGAAACACCAAAAAATAAACATGATATGCCAAAAAGCAACGTTAGTTATGTTGAAGCAATGAGTATTGGTTTTCACTCTTCACTCTCCTATTCGAATTGAGCTAATTCTTTTGTTCTGCACTCAAATGTAATTACCAATTTGGTGGAATCGGCTCCTTATTTTATTTTTTTCTTATTATAATTCTATTTTACTTTTCACCCTATTTTTTTAATAATTACTCTCTCCATACTTCATTTGTTTAAGGCGAAATACATAAGTTACCACCTGATCTATGGACCAAATCCCCTTTACATACTTCCTGACAGCAAAAATCATCTTACACACTCAACCTTTCAAAGTGTATCTAATACACACTATTTTTTTCTTGACCAGTTTTGTAGAAATGTGTAATGTCACGCACCAATAAAATCGTGACACGTGTCAGTACTGTTTTTCAAAGAATAAAATACTTAAATTTTCAACTCCACCCTTTAACCATCTTCTCCCTCTCATCTTTTTCTCTTCTCCGACAAAGTATCCCCTGGCGACCACAAGAAAAAATCCACCAAAAATTAAAATAATTTTTCCTTCGTCCATTATCACCACTTTATCACTGTTGTTACCGCCACAGCTGCCATCAACGTCGTAGCTACCACCATCACTATTAATGTTCAAAACAAATCAACAAATACCACAGTCCTCCTTCTCCACACCCATTTAAAAAAAGAAACCTTTGTTTGAAAACGAGAAATCCAACAGCAATTGAAGAGGGAAAATGGAAAATACTTTAAATGTTTGTTATGATTCTTTTTATACATGGGAAGAAACATAATACCAAGGTGGATTATAACTTCAAATGCAAAACCCACTTTAAATTGGCTTAAATTGTTGTAGTGAGAGTTTGTCGGAAGGTGATTTGGGGAAGAAATGTAAAATAATTTTTTTGTGTGTGTATNGATTTAGGGGGGCGCAAGGGTGTTCACCCGAACACCCTTCGCCGAAAAATTACACTGTATATATAAGGCAAAATCTGTTTTTTATTTCTATATATTAAGTTTTGAACACCGTTAACACAATCCAAAAGTGTAGTTTAGTGGTCAAGGGGGTTCAAAATCTACATAAGGTCATGAGTTCAATTCTCACTAGCTACAAAAATTTTTTTTGAACCCCCCTCGTGGAGATCCTGCCTCCGCCACTGTTGGCATGCCTCACTTGATGGAGATACAGTTTATTAAACCTATAAATTCTCCCTCATATTTACTGTTGAAGTGCATTTACATTTTATAGACAAACTTTTATCTGTTGTACTCATGTTAGACTAATATTATATCTTTTCGATGTTTCACTAGATGGTGATTCTTATTTTTTGTTTTAGTGCTTTCTTCGATGAGTTGACACTGAGAAGATCCTTATGGTTCTTAATGCAGGCAGTAAGATAATGTTTAGATCATTTCTTCTAAAGGCTGTCTATAAACAGATTAGTTATCATCCAGCTGTCACTAAACAGCTTTGTCGTCATCCTTTTCAGTTCCATCCAGAGGTAAAATTTTCAAATCCTGTCAATCCAATTCTGGGACAGTAGTGATTGGTATTCTAGTTTCACTTAGTGCTAACTTTTGCTTCTCCGATAGAGAGGAATGCACAGCAGAAATAAGAAGGCGATGGAGTACATTGCTAGGGGGTGGAATGCTCTGCAGGAAGTTGATAGAGTAATTGATTATTGTGAGCTTAATGACAAGCGTCTCATTCCTTCACTTAGGGTACGTTTAGTAGCAAATAGCTTGATACAATTGCTCTTCTTTTGTTTATGGTTTTTTGAAGGAAATTAATGTGCTTGTGTCTGTGATTTTACTTCTTCAGTGCTTACTACTATCTCCATTTATCTTAGGTTGTGCTGTTTTACACCCAGAGACATTGTTGTTAAGTTTTCATATTATGTCCTTAGAATAGTGTGTTATCCTTGCTGTAAGTCTATTTAGAAGGTTGCAACATGAACGAAGTGGCTCAATGGTCATTATGTTTTCTTCGGTTTCTTGAATAAGTAATGGAAGTTGGTTGCTAGTAATGATTGTAAAAGAGTTAATTCAGTTAAGTAGATTTACTGATCTTTCTGGGGTAAATTTAGCTCCCAACATGGCTACAGTCAACTTAACCCTCTGATCTCTCTTTTGTAAAGCACCCGACTTGTGATTCTTGCTGTCTTTTGAGTTTGGAGATGAAGGCACAGCATGGCAATTAGTCTTTTTTTCTAAAGAAGGAATTGAGGTTATTCCAAAGAAATGGAAGACGCATGCACTTTTGGCCTGGTAGCTAAATTACAATAACGGTCCTGTTTATAATCGACTTTCCTTATGAAAATATCATCATTGTATATTTTGTTTGCTTCTTTACTTCTCACGTGGTTACGTCTCTCTTATATCAAATCAACATTTACTAAGAAGTACCTTCCATTTGTTAAATCTATTTCGTTTTTTGTATGTTAGATATTTGTTGTACTACTTAAGCATGTATTTCTTGGTAGAGTTTATCCATTAATATTCTTTTTCTTGGATTTTTGACTTATCAAATATTTTCTCATTGGGTGGTTATGTGTTAGACAGCAAAGGAGAATTTTGAGTTGGCTCTGGAAGCAGACAACTCAAATACCCATGCAAGATATTGGCTTTCAAAACTGCATCTCAAGTACCATGTCCCCGGGGCGTGCAAAGCTGTGTAAGTTTTGTCTCTTTGGTGTGAAGATTGGACATCTGCAAAGTGCAGACACTTATCATCGTTCATGTGCTATATTGTTGCATGCTTTTAAGCAGGACCAAATAGATCTTCATGCTCCACTTAAAAGGTTTCTAGCTTTTCCAAATTTATATTATTGAACTTAAGCCATCATGTGTATGATTGAGGTTTTTAAAAATTTCCTAACTGATTTGACCATTTTCTAGTTATTAATTACTCTCTCATTCCCCTTTTATGTGCCATCCTTTCCTTTTTAGTCTGTCCCAAAATATTGGCACTTTTCTACATTTAGAAACATATTAAACTTTTTAACTTCTCGTTTTACCTTTAATGAGATAACTTATAATCACGCATATGTCTATGGCTTGTTTTGGACCACAAGTTTTAAAAGTCTTTCTTTCTTTCTTAAACTCTGTGCCAATCAAACACCATCCCGTTTTATGGGACAGAGGGAGTAATTGATTTTTCAGCTTATTTAATCGCTGCTTACATGATATTTATGTCTATATAACTTCTTAATTTCGTTATGAGATGAGGGAGTTGTTAATTATTTGATTGAGCAATATCTTCAGTACTTTTTCATGGACTAATTAAATTGACTTGAGCAATACTTTCAGCACTTTTCATGAATTACTGTCAAAACTAACAGCTAATATTTCTTCCTATTTTTAATGACAGAGGGGCTGCTTTATTAGTGGAAGCTGCAGAGATGGGTGATCCAGATGCTCAATTTGAATTAGGTTGCCGTCTAAGAGTTGAGGTGTGGTTTTCTTTTTTGGAACATATTAATTTTGTCAAGAAGAATGGCTACACCACCTATGAGCTCGAATGGTGTTAAAGATTCTCTATTGGTTTAGTGATGAATAATCTGAACGTCTATGCAGCTAGTTTTAATTTAAACCTCAAAATTTGGCTAACATGACTTTGATATCTGAACAAGGTTAGCTTGTTGGATCTCCCTTTCCGTGGTATGACTTGTGAACTACTCTAGTGTGAACTACAAAGGAACATTTTTGATAAAATGGGCGTAATGTTGACACCTTCTCGATGTGCTTTTACAATGTTTATCTTATCCACTTTGGTTGGGCAATATAATCATATATCTGAAGCCTTTTCACATACTCTATTGCAGTAGTGGGAAATTATTGTGCGACTCCCCTTTGCGCTATTAGTGTTTGGTTGTCAGACAAGTCTGTGTTAAACACTCTGTCAGCTAGGTCTTTCTTTCCTTCTGTTGATAGGTTAATAAGTTCGGTGTTTTAAGAATATCTGTTTTTGCTCCATAATGTCCATCAGAAGATTATTGGTTTAGTAGTGCATAATCGACTACTAATCTACTTACTCCTTCGGGGTGGGGGTAAGGTCTGCGTACACACTACCCTCCCCAGACCCCAGTAGTGGGATTTTACTGGGTTGTTGTTGTTGTTGTAGTGCATAATCGACTACCTTATTGAGTTTCCCCTTGAATTGTTCTCTTGTTCTGTCTTAGAAACATTCTGTAAAAGTTTTGACTGTCTTTATGTATGATCTTCACAGAACGAGTATGTGCAATCAGATCAGCAAGCATTTTACTACTTGGAGAAGGCTGGTGACCAGGTGTGTGTTTTATTAGCAAAGCTGAGGTTATTCTTCCTATTAAGTGCCCTAAATTTCTCACGAAAAATTCTCTTTTTTTTTTTTTTTCAGTTGCATCCAGGTGCACTTTACCTCTTAGGTGCTGTGTATCTTACTGGGGATTGCGTGAAAAGGGATGTTGGCTCTGCATTGTGGTGTTTCCATAGAGCATCTGAGAAGGTACCGAGCATTTTACTGCTTGTTGAATGCTACAACTAATCAGTACATATAGTCTAACTATGTAATGACAAATTATATGCTGTTCTGAACGACGATGTTCGTATTAAACTTAAAAGAGAAAGTACATTTGGGAAGCATATTCGTGTTGACAAACTGTGGTTGGCGTAATTTAGCTCTATCTTGTAGAAAATTGCTTTACTAGCGAGTAAGTGAAGAGCCTCTACAATTATCCCCACCTAATTTTCTTTGCTTGAATCTAGGGTCATGCTGGAGCAGCTATAGCTTATGGATCCCTTCTACTGCAAGGTACACTGTCCCCAATTGTTATCTTTTTTCGAGAAAGGTAACAATTTGTACATATCATCAGTACAAATGCAATACCGGAAGCTATATATACAATTCAAAGACAACAAAAGATGCGTTCGTGCTCTTCTTACAAGGATTTTATAACATCTAACAGTGAGACTGTCCCCTCTTGTTATCAACTTAGCTGTGTGTCGCTTCATCTTATTTTTGTCTCTTTTTATTGTTTACTTAATGGGTTGTAGTTCCTGCTAATTCAAGTGATGCAATACACGTGATTGGAATATGTTATGAGCTCTTTTTAAAGGTTCAGTTTGACATACCATTTTACAAAGCAAAAATTTAAAAGTTTAAAGAAAAAGACCATGATATCATAATTAGAGTAGTATGCTAATAGGGAATATGACTTGCTCAGAATGGAAGAAAGAATAACTGAAAATAAAAATAAAAAGGTGGGAGCTGCTGATCAGTGATCACCACAAAACATTTGTCGAGCCAGTGGAGGAAAAGGTATCATGAACTTATCATATTGCACAGAAAATTCTGATTAATCTTTTGAGTTTAGAGATACAAGATGATATACTGNGGTGGAAACTGGAATCAGGTATGATGATATGTGTGCCATATGGAGTTGGAGACTGGGAGTTCTCATGTATGTAGACACCGGATTTTTGACCCTCCCCGAGAATTTTCACGTTTTTAGCGTGAATATGTGAAATGGGGTCTAATATAGCCATTTTAACTATTTTTACTTTATTTCGTTGCAAAAAGAAAAATTACAAAAAATATATATATAAATTTTAGTTTATGTATNTGAACTTATCATATTGCACAGAAAATTCTGATTAATCTTTTGAGTTTAGAGATACAAGATGATATACTGCCGGTTGGGTGTATATTGGACTTTTTGCTCTCAGCAAATTAAGATTCTCTGTTTCATGTGGGGCATTATTTCAGGTGTGGAACTTCCAGAATCAATAACAAAATTTTTACTGAAGCGGGGGTCCTCAAGCAGAATATCGAGGAGGAATGGAGTTGATCCTGAGCTTAATCCGATTGAGCTGGCCAGAGAACAATTTGAAATTGCTGCAAAAGCAGGATCTGACCTTGGATTTAGATGGTTAAAAAGACTTGAGGAGGAAGAGAAACGTCTGCTGTCGTCCTAGTTCACGAATATCAGAGACTATAAAAGAGTTGATTCATTAATGTACCTACAAGGGTACGTACTAGGCACTAAACTGTTGAACATTGTTAATTTATGTAAATCTTGTTTTGAACACCATTCCTTTTCTTGAGGATTGTTATATACGATAACATATATGTGTGTGTTCATATATTATATGTGGTACACATTTTAAAGTCCTCCTTTGTTAGATTCGCAAAACATAGTCAATCTCGTGTCTAGATAAGGATGGTTGCAGTAGGTTGACATATTCAAAGGATTCATGGCCATGCTTTGCATATAGACAGTTATTTTTAATAATTAAACTGGGAATTATATATACCTGGAATAAGTTTGAAAGTGTATATCTGAAGTAAGGCATTTCTTATTAAGTTATTCTTCTTTTTAGATTGAGATTGTGTGGGGGAATAGTGACAAAATGGATGAGCTGATGGTGCAGCAGCCGAGAGGACCTTAGAAATGATGAGCAGAGTTGAGAGCAAGCGTTTCGATTCAATAAATGAAGATCTCTACTGAGCTTAATTGCCCTGAGGTTTTTTGTTAGGAGTACACTCTTATCTGCTAGCAAAGTTTTGTTGCTCGACATTTTTGGCTCTTTAGGTCAATGTATATGGTGTGCTGGAAAGTGATTAAGATAGATTGTGTCTGTAAAATTTGTTCAGGTTTCTACTTCTGTTTATCTTGTAATATAATTCAAAGTTGGTTGTTGGTTACATACTGATAATTTATAGGCTTCTACTTTTGTTGAAACTTTAAATTCTGTTGTCTTGAAGCAACTGTCTATTTGAGCTTCTCCTATGCTCGGATAAAGGGGGAAGTTTGTGGTAAGACAAAGTAATGAACCAATATAAATTTAATAACTTCTCTATGCATTTAGCATACAAACTCAAATTTAATTTGTATTGTCATATACTTGAGATAGCCTTGGTAGTTATCCTTTCATTAAATTTTTCTGGCATTGCACTATATCATCCATCTATTTCGTATTTCGTATTCCGTATCTCTATTGTTATTTTATTATGAGTTTATTGATAGTACTAATATATCGTCTCTTGTTACTTTCTTGAGCAGAGGGTTTCCTGGAAACAGTCTCTCTGCCCCTCGGGGTAGGGGTAAGGTCTGCCTGCATATTACCCTCCTCAAACCCCACTTGTGAGATTATACTGGGCCGTTGTTGTTGTTGTTGTTGCAGGTAATTTTTCTCATTAAAGTGTATTGTCTCCTTTTTCAAGAATCTCTTCACAGTATCATTGGAACAGAAATTAGACAATTGATATTTTTTTCCCTCTATCAACACAAAATAATCAGATTTTTGCTCCTCCAAATGGCAACTGCCACAATAGACAAGTTCCTGTATCGCATCATATGATGTCAAACCAGAAAGAAATACTCCCTCTACTGCACTTTTCCACATCACTTACTATATGCGATATGAGACAAAATTTAGGAATTTGTTGTTGAATCCCAAAAAAAAAGGAAAAATAATTTGGGTGTGGCAGGAAGCTTATACACTTTCTTGCTGGTGAAAAAGAAGAATAAGCAATTGAACCGATTAAGCTTACACTACTTGTCTACTTGTTACTACCTATCAAAACTTTAAACTGACACTGCAATGAGGAAATTTCAAAGTCACTTGGATTTTCCTTTAATTGAAGCAGGCCCTTTTGATGATGTTTTCTTGTAAGGTGACTTCTTCACTTTCAACTTGCTTGGAGTTGATGACGATTTCCCTCCTTGGTTCCTTCGGTTCTTGTCCTTTTTCACATTGTACATGTTTACAGCCTGTGGTATAGGTGACTTCTGTTTCTCTAAGGAGCCCATTCCTGATCCTTCTGCAACTGGTAGGAACTGGTTATACACAAGAGTAGAGTTGACTTAGACAATACAATCAGGTTAGTCCTAAGCAAATTTATGCATGCACTTTCCATAATACAAACCTTACGGTACTTCTTATCATGTTTTGGGGGTTTTTCCCCAGGCAACTTCTTGTCAAATTTTCCGCCACTAGCTGTTGCATTTGCTGCCATTCCAGCGACATTGCCGAGTTCATCCTTGCTAATTTTCCTTGGTGCAGCTTGTGTTCCTGTTATAGGCAGTGCTGTGGCAGCAAGCTGAACGTGACTGCAAATAGAAACACATCTTCGTTTATCAACAACATGACTTTAAGAGAATAAGGTAGATGCAAGGTTCAAGACAATTGAAACAGAGGTTGACAATTTTCTTGAATGAAATCTGCTAAGCAATAAGATACTCAATAGCTAGTCATCAAAACAAAGGATTTGAGACATGGAACAACAAACCTAATTAATCTTCATAGATGGCAGGAATTAATAAAGAATTAAAGTTTTGGCAGAAAAACAATGAGAAATTTAGATGGACAAGACCTTGGCAAGGCACCAGCTTTTGCAGCTTCCTTTAAGTTACTTAATCGATTTTTCTGTTGCTTTTCTACTCTCTTCTTCTTTTCTTCTTGTCTCTTAGCAAAAGGATCTTGACCAGGCTCTGAAAAAAAACAGGGAGAGAACATTTTCAGAGCAATGTCAAAATGCTAATGCAGATACGGTCCCTTCATTCACTAAATTAAGTTGCTTTCCTCTATAGTGATCATGGTACGGATGATTGACGTAAGAGAGTACAATCAAAATTTGGCTGGACCGCGGTAGGCTAAGGGATCGAGGCAGAATGGTTGTCTTTCACCGCGGTCGCGCCGCGTTCTGCCGCGGCCGTGGTGAACTGTGTAGCTGCCAGAACTTTTGGTACCAAAGTGTAAATTGGGAAAAACTTATTCCAACCCCTTATAAACTCAAGAAGCTCGCCCAAGAAAGTTTTAAGCTTGTTTTTAGACTACTTTGGAGGAAGAACAAGTGTGAGAAGAGCAACCAAACATTAGAGTTTTTCTATCTTCTCTTTATTATTGCAATTACACATTATGAACAATTTAGTAGTTTTATCTTACTTTGTTATGAGTAGCTAATTCCTCAATCTAGGGTTTTGATAGAACCTATTGAAGGATGAACCTCTTGTTATGTTAATATAGTTTGCCCAAGTTACTCTCTATTTGTTCAACTACGTTCTTGTTGTAGTTAATTGATAGAATCTTCAATTAGTGCATAACTCGGGAGAGAGTGCATATTTAGGTAATTATTGAACAACATCACTCCCAAAGTATATGAGGGATCAATAACTGAGGGTTTAAAGGTGGGATTAGGGATAACCAAGCCTTGGGTGCAATCTAAAGTAAGCTGTAATAAACAAAGCCAGCTAGTGTAACTCGGGAGAGTGCGTCTAGTAAATTGTCGTGATTACTTGGGATAGATTTACGGTAATAAGAGTGTTCATGATTGATAGAGACGAATAGGCGAATTTATGTGAAACATAACCGGAAGGGATTCCATCAATAGGGAAAATTATAACCTTAGATCTTTCTCTTAATTGTTTACAACTTAATCATAGTCTGTCTTTATTTGCTTAATTATAGTCAGTCTTAGTTAGTAGAAACATCCTCAATTGTTATTCAAAACGTTTGGGAAGTTGATTACGTAGAATTTCGTAAGTCTAACGAGAGTAATTGATAGGTTAATTCCTTGTGGGTTCGACTCTAGGCGAAATACTCAGATTATATTTGCAACGTCCGCGTGTCCTTTTTATAAGGCATAGTTGTGCATGATTAAATTTTGGCGTCGTTGCCGGGAACTTAACGGTGTTATCAGTTACAATTGAAAGAAATACAAAATTCTTAGTATAGTCAATTTTCTCTATACCCAATCTATACATTGAAATTTTAACATTTGTTGACTTGGTTGTACAGGTGCATGCGTAGAAACTCATCGAGAACTGGTGAAGTATTTGAAGCATTATCAGATCCCAAGAAAGTTTTCAAGGCCTTGAATCGGGCCAACCGGAAAAACAAACAACTGAACAATTCGAACCAGACATGGGGGATCACATAGTAGACCCAGCTGCACCGGTAGTGCCAGTAGCGCCAGTGGCACCTCTTGTGCCAGAGGCGGCTCTATATGATTAGGCACAACTCACAACAGAGAACCTGGCCACAACGATTTTAGTCCCGCAGATACTTGCTGAATTGTTTCAAATCACGAACAACATGCTGCACTTGTTGCAAAACAAGAGACTATTTTTGGGGTCACAAATTGAAGATCCTCAACAACATTTAAAGAATTTCCTATCAATCTGCAAAACCTAAAGGTAGACCAACGTAACTCAGGAAGCAATCAAGATGTTATTGTTTCCATTCTTAGTGACAGGAGCTGCCCAAACCTAGCTAAACTCACTCCCTATTAATTCCATAACAACTTGGGAGGAGTTAGTCAAGCAATTTGTGAACAAGTTGCACCCACCCAACAAGACTGCTCAACAAATTGATGAAATTTTGAGTTTCAAACAGAGACCAATGGAGACACTGCATGAAACATGGGAACGATTCAAGGGGATGCTAGTTATATGTCCTCACCACGGTATTCCAGATCTGATGTTGGGGCAGCGGTTTTACATGGGATTGTCAGATGGCGTGAAGGGTAATGTTGATGCTTCAGCTGGTGGAGCATTTCTGAGCAAAACATGGAGAGAAGGCCAGAGTCTGCTTGACAAGATGACACAGAATTCGAGGTGGACAACCAGGAATGCACCTATCACTCCAGTAGTTCACTTAGTGCCCTTAGATCCATCCAACACTCTTGCTAAAAACATGGCCACGTTAATGACACAGATGAGTATACTCACCAAAAAGGTGGAAGAGTCAGGGCAGAAGCAGCAGGTACATATTGTAGATACTACCAATGGGGGCTTATGCACATCTTGCATTAGTCAGCCAATTGGTACCCAGTGGAATGCAGAAAGTGATCATCACCACTACCTTGAGGACATGAATTATGTGTCTAATTATGGAGGCCAGAGACAGGGTGGTCAAAATTGGGGCTAACAAAATCAGTAGTACAGGCCAGTCCAACCATAGCTCAACAATGGAAACATGGGAGGTATGAGACCTCACAACAATATGGCGCCTTATCAAAGGTCACAAGGATATAATAGTCAAAATCAGCAGTAGGGGTATCATCCTCCTCAGCAGTAACATGGTGGACGACAGGAAGATGGATTTGCTAGATCGAGGCAATGATGCAGCAGGTTATTGGGTCAAACGCAAAAATCAGTAAAAGAGTAGATGCATATGATTCAGCTATTAAGAATATTAAAGTGCAGATAGGCTAGATTTTGATGTCTTTGAATAATCGTCCTCATGGGACATTGCCTGCAGACACTCAAATAAATCCAAAAGATCAAGGCCCGAAGCAGCTGATGGCAGTGAGTCTACGTAATGGTAGAGATTTAGATTTTGAGCAAGAGAGGGCTCGAGAAAGAAGACAAGCTGAGACACTTGTACTAGTGCCCATTGAGCTAGATGAGTTAACGAAACTGGCTGAGGTGATAGTACAGCCTGCCCACGAAGAACATAACACACAGATTGAGGCTGAGAGAGAAGCTGAGACACCCCAGGAACCGGTAGTTGAGGTGGTAGCTGACAAAGAAAATACCCAAATCATTAGAAAAAAGAGACCCCCCGCACCATTCCCATAAAGGCTGGCCAAGTACCAAAAAGAAGAACAATACAAGAAATTCTTGGAGATGCTGAAACAAATCCAGGTAAATATTCCATTGATTGATGCTTTGAAGGAGATGCCTGGTTATGCAAAAATGATGAAGGACTTGATGTCCCCAAAATTCGATTTCCAAGACTTGGCCACGGTGACTCTTACTCAGACCTACAATGCGGTGGTGACTAGACCAATTGCTGAAAAGCTGTCTGACCAGGGATTCACAATTCCCTGCACTATTGGTAGCTTTGCTTTCACCAAAGCACTTTGTGATTTGGGGGCTAGCATAAATCTTATGCCCTTGGCGATCTATAAGAAGTTGGGGATTGGAAGAGCTAGACCCACTTCGATGTTGTTGCAGCTGGCTGATAGGACCGTGAAAAGACCTTTAGGTATCTTGGATGATGTGTTGATTCAGGTAGGGAAATTTGTGTTCCTTGTAGATTTTGTGATTCTAGATTGCAAGGTGGATGAAGAGATTCTCATAATTTTGGGAAGGCCATTCTTGGCCTCTGGGAGAGATTTCATTGATTGTGAGACTGGGGAGCTCAAGATGAGGTTGAACGATGAATAGATAACATTCAGTGTGCAGAAATCTATGAGGCGCCCAAGTGAATTCACCAATTGTTCTCTTATTGATGTCGTGGATGTAATCGTAGAAGCTGATGATGAGATGCTGACTATTGAGGACCCTCTTGCTGCATGTCTGGTAAATTTAGATGAGGTGAATGGGGAAGAATTGGAAGAATGGGTGTTGGCTTTAGAGGGCAGAGGGTTCTGGGATAGAACTCTTGAATTTAAGCCCCTGCACTTAGAAAACAAAGAAACTCCAAGAACCACCAAAGCTGGAATTGAAGCCACTGCCCGCCCATCTCAGTTATGAGTTCCTCGGACCTAACTCCACATTATATGTTATTATCTCATCTAGTTTGTTAGATGTGCAGGCACAATAAATTTTGCAGGTACTCAAGAAGTGTAAGACTGCCATTGGGTGGACCATGACAGACATTAAGGGGATCAACCCAGCCTATTATATGCATAAAATTCTGCTGGAAGAGGGACACAAACCTTCCAGGGAACACCAAAAAAGGCTGAACCCCAACATGAAGGAAGTGGTGAAGAAAGAAGTGATAAAGTGGTTGGATGCGAGAATCATTTTCCTAATCTCTGACAGCAGCTGGGTTAGCCCGATGCAATGTATGCCTAAGAAGGGGGGCATGACGGTGGTCAAAAATGATAACAATGAGTTGATCTCTACAAGAACCGTCATGGGTTGGAGAATTTGCATGGACTACAGAAAGTTAAATCTGGCCACCCAGAAAGACCACTTCCCACTTCCCTTCATTGATCAGATGCTAGACAGATTGGCAGGGAGGTCTCATTTCTGTTTTCTGGATGGGTACTCAGGGTACAATCAAATCTCCATTGCACCAGATGACAGAGAGAAGACCTCCTTCACT